CTGTTTCTAGGGATAGTATAGAATCAACCTGGTGAAGGGCAGCAGCGATCACCAGTACTAGAATTAGGCGTAAAGGAAATGATCCTAAACCGGCTTCTTACTAGAATACCGTAGGTGAGACTGAAACAGTTAGAGGGCTACGGTACTGCGATGCGGAAAGCAAGTAGGAAACTACCGCATTATATTCCTCAGGACATCCGTCCGTAGATTTTTTCTTGTCATGTTGGAAGAAACAAAACAAACGGCCCCTAGTCCCAGGCAGGCCTTAAATGGCCAAGGGGTGCGAAGAATCTCCTGGTTTCAACTTGATAAGACAATCAAAATTGCTACGTGGAATGTTAGAAGCTTATTTGCAACAGGCAAACTACAAAGTCTAATATAGGAAATGAACAGAATTAACATCGATATTCTCGGCATAAGCGAATTGCGATGGGAAGGCACAGGCATGATCAATACTACTGGTAAAACCCTTTACTACTCATGCAGTGATAGCACAGACCCTCACCACAGACATGGGGTGGGAGTTCTGATAAGCGAAAATTTGCGCGCCTCCGTGAAGAACTTTGTCCCGATCTCCGAAAGAGTCATACTTATTCAGTTGCATGGAAAAGTTAACATAAATATTATACAAGTCTACGCCACTACAGCAGACAAGCCAGAAGAAGAACTAGAGCGATTTTATCAACAGCTAGACGAAGCCTTAAAGGTGACTAAGAATCACGAAATTAACATCGTATTAGGAGACTTCAACGCAAAAGTTGGGGAAGGAGCTGTAGATCACGTAGTTGGAAAATATGGTCTTGGTCAGAGAAACGACAGAGGGGACAGATTGATACAGTACTGTCAAGACAAAGATCTAGTCATAACGAATACTTGGTATAAGTTACCACCCAGTAGGCTTTACACATGTAAGTCGCCTTTAGACGGACATCAGGGCATTATAAGGAACCAAATAGATTATGTGACAATTAATAGAAGGTACAGGAATGCTATTACTAAGGTATCTGCATTACCTGGAGCAGACATAGGATCCGACCACAATCCCTTAGTAGCAAATATCAAACTGAGGCTCGCTACAGCTAAAAAAAATACCAGAAGGCATCAGTAAACATTAGAAAACTCAAAAACAATGAAACAAATGAAGCGTACACAGAGGAAATAAACAATAGGTTCTCTAATATGGCAACTGAGAATGATGTTGAAAAGTCATGGACCACCATAAAAGAATTATTTGATGAATTGAACAACACTTTTCTACTCGAGAGTAAAACAACTACCAAGAATGAGTGGATGACAGAAGAAATATTAGAGATGATGGAACAACGCAGGCAGTGTAAGATCAGGCAGGACGAAGTAGGGTACCGAAATATACACAGTCAAATTCGTAAAGAAATTATAGCGGCGAAGGAGATCTGGATGACTACACTTTGCGCCAAGGCTGAAAGCCTATATAAACTCGGCGACAGCTGTAATCTTCACAAGAAAATTAAGGAAATTGCTGGTGTCTTCAAGAAAAAACAAGTCACTGGTATACATAATGACCAAAATGAACTAATAACGAACCCTAGCGATATACTTAATACTTGAAAAATGTACACAGCCAATTTGTTCAATGATGACAGAACACAAAAACCACCACAACTGGGAGACCATTTGTATGGCCCAAGTATTTTGAAAGCTGAAATTGTACACGCTATCAAACTATTAAAAAGTAACAAAACCCCAGGACCAGATGATATGTACGCAGAAACAATCAAGTTACTTAATGAAGAAAACCTAGACATTATTGTCAAGCTCTTTAACGACATCTACGATACGGGCCAGATTCCAAAAGATTGGCTTCGATCTACATTTATCGCCCTACCAAAAACACCACGTGCGAACTTCTGCAAGGATCACCAACTAATAAGCCTAATGAGTCACTTTTTTAAACTTTTCCTGAGAATACTTCACACTAGATTGTTTAAGAAATGTGAAGAGGTCAGTGGATGGAGTCAGTTTGGTTTCAAAAATGGACTTGGCACGAGAGAAGCGATCTTTAGTATGCAAACATTGATACAGAATTGTTTAGATCAAAGAAAAGATCTTTTTATCTGTTTCATCGATTACGAGAAAGCATTCGATAATGTAAAACATGAATTGATGATAAAATACCTTCAAGAGTTGGGATTGGATGCAAAGGATATAAGAATCATCGCCAATCTGTATTGGAATCAGACAGCAACAGTACGTCTTCAAAATTCCAACGAAACAGAAGATTTCTCCATTAAAAAAGGAGTAAGGCAAGGTTGTATACTGTCCCCAATGCTGTTCAATTTATACGTAGAAAAAGCCTTCGCAGAAGCAGTGGAAGACTCTAATAAGGGTATTAAAGTTAACGGGTATTTATTAATAACATCAGGTATGCCGATGATACAGCCATAGTGGCAGATAACATCGAAGATCTTCAATGCCTTTTCAATGATCTAACTCTTGCAAGTAAAGCTCGGGTTTGAAAATAAATATCAAGAAGACAAAATCAATGATTATAAGTAGAAATGATTACCCCAACGCAAAGATATATGTCTCTGGAGAAGAAATCGAACAATTAAGGCAATTCAAATACTTGGGATGTTTGCTGAATGAGGGTTGGGACCCTGAGAATGAAATAAAGAGCAGAGTTGAACAAGCCAGAAATGCTTTTTTGAGGCTTCGTAAGTTTCTGACTGATCGCAAATTGGACTTCAATCTCATATACAAGATGCTTAAGTGTTACGTGTGGCCTGTTCTCCTGTACGGAATTGAAGCATGGACGTTAAAGGCCAGTTCCATTAACAAACTTGAAGTGTTTGAAATGTAGTGCCTGCGTCGAATGCTCAAAATATCATGGACGGACAGGGTCAGAAATGAGGAAGTACTTAGAAGAGCGGGCTTACAGGATAGGGAACTTTTTAATTATGTAAAAAGTAAGAAGACTGCATACTTGGGGCACATTATACGAGGAGAACGATACACTTTTCAGCAACTGATGCTCGAAGGGAAGATAGAGGGTAGGAGAGGTCTCGAACGTAAAAAAATGTCATGGCTGCGCAATATTCGACAATGGACAGGAATCCACAGCTATGAAATGCTTCGCAATGCTGCTAAAAACAGAATTATTTAATCCAGAATATTTAACATCTCACCTGACAAGACGATGTACGGTGGACGCCTACGCAGAAATGCACGGCACCTTAAGAAGAAGAAGAGTGATATTTGAAATATGTTCCGACCAACTCAAATTTTCAGTAATTGTAACACCAAGGTCACAATAGGATTCCACAGTATCCAGTAAATGCTCGTCTATCGAATAAGACAAACGCGGGTTATTTTTTCCCAAATGTAAAACTACACACTTATCTCTTTTTAGAGATAACATCAAATCTGAACACCACTTGAAGATCGAATCTAAGTCACTTTGTAAGTATTGTCTATTTAAACAAGGGTCAGTAAATATTTTTGTATCGTCTGCGTAAAAAGCTTTCCTTGATATGCTATGAGAATCAAGATATCACTAACATACAACACAAATAGTAGTGGACCTAAAACAGATCCTTGTGACACACCACTTAAAATTGGTTTTTTAGATGACAGCGATTTGCCAACTCTAACACAAAACTCCCGATTTGTTAAAGAATCATTAATCCACTCAAAAAGGTCCGCCAATGCCATAGTGTTCTAGTTTATACATCAATTTTCTTCTTGGTACCCAATCAAATGTTTTTGCAAAGTCTAAATATATAACATCTATAGGTCACTTTTTATCCAATGCTGCTATCCATTCTTCAACATACCACAGTAAATTAGTCATGGTTGATCGACTTTTCACAAATCCATGTTGTTGTAGAGGAATAATTTTTTCTCGAAGCAAAAATTCTGAAAGAGAGTCTGTGATAATTGATTCCATAACTTTTCAAATAACAGGTGTCAGGCTTATTGGTCTATAATTATTGTAATCTAACTTATTTCCGGATTTATAGGATCGGGGGAACATTAGGATCATAATCTACTTTTATTTTTATTGATAATTGTATGTTATAATCTTGTTTTTTTATGTATATATATATATTTGATTTTCTATGGTATAATAAAATATACTCATAAATGGTACATACGGTATTGTTTTGTGTATTTTTTATCGTTTTTGTTCTCATACTTGCAAATACTACATAACTAATACTGAGCCACGGAAGTTCTATTGTGTAGTAATCTAGTAGACTTTTTTTAGATGTTTTAAAAAAATGTACAGTTTATTCTTTTTTAACTGTCAATAATATTATTCAGATATAATTACAATTAAGTTATAAAATTATAACGGATCGACCTACTTTTAAATCCGTACCCTTTTCGTGTTAACCGACAAAAAATTAGGAAGATGTGAAGCAATCTACGGTCGCGCTGTATAATTCATATCTCGATAAATAATTTCAAGTGTTAGAGCCTGGCTGGCATAATCGATTTCCGACCTGCTTGCGTTATCCAGTCTATGTAACGGCCGAAACACTCGTTCACCATATTTTTATATTTCGTCCTGAAATATTTGGCACGCCTTTCAACTCGGATTCGTTCGTTGGAAAATTCACTGTTAAAATAAATACTTGAGTAAACAAAAAGTGGATAAGAAGTAAAAAGAATTTATAAGCCAGTTGAGAAAATTCAAGGGAGGAATGAGAATAATAAATATTGGAAAATCATTTTAAATTATTTTTGTTGGGTTATATTTAAGATTTTAATGTAACAGATACTCTAGCAGCTACGTAAGAATTTATTAGAGACATTTCTTACTAAATTGTTTTCTACCATTATAGAACATTAAAAAAAAAACAACGATATTAACGTCAGTTTAAATTAAACTAGATCAGTATTTGAGTCAAAATTTTTAAAACTACATTTCTAATTTTCAGATATTGCGCAAGGACCCAATTATAGATTCGCTTTAAAGAGGAGGTAGGTTTTCATGGCAAATAAAAATGTTTACTTACCCGCTGAGAACACCGAGAACTAAGTTTAACATAAAAAATGATCCCAAAACTATAAGTGGAACAAAGTATATCCAATTGAACATACTACCAATTGCGTCATTCATCTGAAAGTAAATTTAAATATTATTAAGTTGAACATACAGGATGATTTAGTATGCTAAAGCTAAAAATACCCGTTATAATAAAACCTACAAAAAAGTACACTAAATTTTCAAACTAAATTTCTAAATGACAACTTAAAATTCTAATTTACCTGTACCTGACAGAGATGTAAAGGTCGTAGCATATTATCATGCACGTATAGTTTCCGACACGTAGCGTTTCCAGTCCAGCAATCGGACTGCAAGTTCACATTTTCATACATAGAACGTTTCAGTTTGGTTCGGTGAAGATGTGATCGCGCTTTTTGCGAAAAAATTATGTGCAATTGCTCTTCTAGTTCTGGGTTATATATGTCGAAATTCCAAGTACCAGTTCTTAAAGCTTATTATGGAAGGGAAGATAGAAGGAACACGAGGAAGCGGAAGAAATAAATACTCATGGCTTAAAAACATAAGGGATTGGACAAACCTCTATGCCCATGCACTTTTTAGAGCCACACAAGATCGAGAGGAGTATGCCAGAATTGTCGCCAACATCCACTAATTGGATAGGCCACCATAAGAAGACGAAGAAGAAACTCGTCTACCTAACACGTAACGATGAAGTAAGAAAAACTGAAGTAAAAAGAAGGTTTAAAGTACATCTTGTGCTAAGAGAAATAAAAAAGGAAGATGAATACTGGACTTTATACAAAGAATAAATTGATGACGATGAAAAATATGGATATTTTAGAATGAATATGATTCAGTTTAAATATATTTTAAATTTTAAAAAAATTTATTTAAAATCTTTTATAAAAGGTATATAATAAAATGCACAAACGGGCTATCACAAAGATATTGCAAAACGTTTTCGGATTATTAAATTCATCATCATTATAAACCTGAAAGTAATTAACCATTTTAATTAAAAAGAACGTTGAATTTAAAATGTTGACTAAGGTTAAAGAACATTGTGGTTAATACTTACGAGGTATACATGCTATGAGCCACCAAAATATATGGGTCCAAACCCTTTAAATGATATAAATTTACATTTGATTTACATTATATGTGGTTACAAATTATGATGTTTAAGTTACCGTTGGAATTGGTAACATGGCGACGTATGACCCTACATAGGTAAAATGGTCCTGAGACGAAGTGTCTTCGAGGACCTGTTGATAAAAACTGATCAAAATGACATTGTTAACAGGTTAGAACGGATGTTGTGTCAGAGCAGTCAGTGTAACTTACGGTAGTTGTCTAAAAATGACAGATGTCAGCATTATTTAAAATTGAAAAAATTAAAATTATAATAATGTAACAGTATCAACCATCAATGTTGTAGTCTGTAATGTGAGTTAATCATCATATATTGGAAACATTGAAAAATTTGGTTTTTTAAAAAATTAATGTGAGTAAACTGGAGTTTATGAAATTTTGTAGGATCAGTAGGCAACCAACTATATGTGTATGGATTTATATGTTCTAAGCTAAAAAATTTTTATCAAAAGGCCCTGTATGTTGTGTAACATTTGGTACCTAGAAAATGGTAAAAAATGGCAAAAAAAGCACATGTAGGAAGATGGGTCCTATAAGATTTATTAATGAGGAATGTTGTAGTAAAAAGTGTGTTTAGATCTGTTGTTGAGCTGAAATTTAAATATGATAAGAATGTGATTATGGTGGGATGTTGATGTAGTACTTAACTTAAAACTTAAGCAAGGAGGGCCCTCTATGTCAAAAAAACATTTGGCACCTGATAAAAATAAAAGATTTTTCAAGTTATAAGTACATGAACATGAATTGCTGGTTATGTGTGAAAATTAAAGATGGTAGATTGTTTTTGTGTGTGGACACTTATGCCAAAACAACAGAAAACTGATGGCTGAAGGGTGGTTTGGTATAGTATTGTTAATACCTTGCTCAAATTCTAACTCAAGAAAAAACAAGAGGCCCTATATGTTAAAAGGAACATTTGGTGCCTGAAAAATATAAAAAAAAAAAGGATGAGTTATAAATTTGAGTTTAGGTAGGTATGTGAGTTTAATAGGCTTTTGGGGTGTATTGTGAGAACATATGAAACTGTAAGAGTAGTTATGTTTAAGTTGGATCTGTCAAATTTACTAAAGATGTGTGATGTTTAATTGTTATTGTGAAGAGAAAGGTGGAAAAACTACAAGAGGCTGAAGACCCCAGAGACCCGAAAATTGAGGGAGAGTGGATGGGTAAAAGGAGTTATAATAGAAAAGAAAAATGCAGTAAGAAAAGGTGAAGATATGTGGTTAAGTACTACAATCTTTAATTTTCACACATAACCAGCAATTCATGTTTATGTACTTATAACTTGAAAAATCTTTTTCTTTTTATCAGGTGCCAAATGTTGTTTTTTTGACATAGAGGGCCCTCCTTACTTAAGTTTTAAGTTAAGTACTACATCAACATCACACCATAATCACATTCTTATCATATTTAAATTTCAGCTCAACAACAGATCTAAACACACTTTTTACTACAACATTCCTCATTAATAAATCTTATAGGACCCATCTTCCTACATGTGCCTTTTTTGCCATTTTTTACCATTTTCTAGGTACCAAATGTTACACAACATACAGGGCCTTTTAATAAAAATTTTTTAGCTTGGAACATATAAATTCATACACATGTATAGTTGGTTGCCTACTGATCCTACAAAATTTCATAAATTCCAGTTTACTCACATTAATTTTTTTAAAAACCAAATTTTTCAATGTTTCCAATATATGACGATTAACTCACATTACAGACTACAACATTGATGGTTGATACTGTTACATTATTATAATTTTAATTTTTTCAATTTTAAATAATGCTTACATCTGTCATTTTTAGACAACTACCGTAAGTTACACTGACTGCTCTGACACAACATCTGTTCTAACATGTCAACAATGTCATTTTGATCAGTTGTTATCAACAGGTCCTCGAAGACACTTCGTCTCAGGACCATTTTACCTATGTAGGGTCATACGTCGCCATGTTACCAATTCTAACGGTAACTGAAACATCATAATTTGTAACCACATAATATAATGTAAATCAAATGTAAATTTATATCATTTAAAGGGTTTGGACCCATATATTTTGGTGGCTCATAGCATGTATACTTCGTAAGTATTAACCACAATGTTCTTTAACCTTAGTCAACATTTTAAATTCAACGTTCTTTTAATTAAAGTGGTTATTTACTCTCAGGTTTACACTGATGATGGATTTAACAATCCGAAAACGTTTTGTAATATATTTGTGATAGCCCGTTTGGACATTTTATTATATACCTTTTAATAAAGGATTTGAAATAAATTTTTTGTGATATATGGTATACAGCCAGCTACAGGAACTTAGTTTCCTAGTGGATTTTAAATTTAATTACAATTTTAGTTAAAAAACAAAATACTACATTTAACGAAGCCATAACTACATATCAAACCAAAGATTTTTTTTTTAACGAAGAGGTATCATTTCCATGCAAAAGTAATAGTTGTTAATCACTTTCGTGAATAATTGTCACAAAGCAATAAAAACACATGCATAAATGACAAAATAGTCTCGAAAATTATTATTTTTTATATATTCGGTATCAAAATCAAACAAATACCTAAATAAACGAGAAGAAAACGACGGACCCTAATTTACATTATCCGTACCAACAGGTTTCGACTTCTTCTTTTATTCGAATATAGTAGAATGGAATCGTTAAGTGTCTGATACAATATGTTCCGGACAGGGTGAGTTTTTTATATTTAAAACCATTTAAATTATATTTTTCGGAAACTAAACGCTACGTGCTGGAAACGCAACGTGCATGATAATATGCCACGACCTTAATTCTAAATATGCCTCGAGTATGATTTCACACGTCAGACAAAATACGTGATATGAACTATAGAAGACATTCAATTTGGAAGCCTTTACTTAATTCACATTTTTAGTAACTTTCAGGGATTCTAGCGTAAATTAAATAGCGGTATTGTACGTTGTCTAATATTGTCATTTAATCTATTTATCAGTATACGTAAGGTTAATCTAACAAACCATAGAGACAAGAAAGATAAAGTCACAAACATAACAGTATATAGTGGAACGAGTAGTTTGACGTAATGTCAAAAATAAATAGCAAAAAGAGATAAATAGCATTAAGAACAAGCGAGATTTGTCCCAGGAAAAGGTACAAGAGAACACATCCTTAATGTCAGACAGCTAATCGAAAAAACTCGTGAATTCAATACTTTCGGAACAGAGGCAGGTGTCAGGCAGGGATACATAATCTCGCCAACTCTGTTTAATATCTACAGCGAAGGTACTAGACGGATGGAAGGGCGAAATATCACTAGTAGGTCAAAAAATCAATAACTTGAGATATACTGACGACACTTTAAGAATCGCGGCTAATCAAGAAGAAATGGAATAGGAAAAAAAACAAAACATATGGACTAAAGCTAAATAGGAGTAATACAAAGATCATGATAGTAGACAGAGCTCGGAATAATCTCCAACACATTAAAGAAATTGGGGGCTTTGAAGTAGTAAATATTTTCATATACCTGGGGTCCCTAATAACAAATGACGGAGGGTGTGACATAGAGATACGTCGAAGGTTGACTATTGCTAGAATATCTATGATGAAACTGGTAAAAATTTGGAAAAATTCTAGCATAACAATACACACAAAACTAAGGCTGGTAAGGGCGCTCATTTTCCCGTAGCCACATATGCATCCGAGACGTACTTACCGACCTTAAAGAAAGCAGATAAAAATAAACTAGGCGCTTTTGAAATGTGGGTATACCGCCGTACGTTGAGAATATCCTGGATTGATCATCGCACTAACGTATCGATATTAGAACAACTTAAAATAAAGGATAGATTGCTTAAACAAATACAACAGAGATATTTGCAGTATTTTGGACACATTGCTAGAAGAACAGGTACGATGGAAAAACTGATAGTCGAGGGTAGAGTTGAAGGAAAGACACCTAGGGTAAGATCTCCAAGCCGTTGGGTAGATCAAACAAAAATATTGATTAACCACGGGTTGCATGAAGCCGAAAAACTAGCCCAGGACAGAGAAGGATGGGGGGAAATTGTGAAAAAACTGTAAAAACCTAATGGTTCATCATTATCATCATCATCAGTGGCGTTACAGTTCTTTATGAGCCAAAGCCTTCTTCAGAACAATCCTCCATTCGCCCCTGTCTCTGCAACTTTTCCCCATGCTCTAATTCCGATAGACTTCAAATCATTTTCTATGTTGTCTTGGTACCTAAGTCTCGGTCTTCCTCTTCTTCATTGTCCGATCGGCCCTCTTTGGTCAAAAACTTTTCTGACTATGGCATCTTCCTTCCGTCTGATTACATGACCTATCCATCTGAGGCGTGCTACTTTAATCAATTTTACAACGTCAGGCTCTCCACATCTTCTGTACCACTCAAAATTGTAACACCTGCGCCACAAACCTTGTTCTTTTATGCCTCCATATATTCGTCTTAGTATTTTTCGCTCAAAACGTTTGAGCAATTCTTGGTCATTCTGTGTTAGTGCCCAAGTTTCTGAACCATATGTTAGCACTGATCTTATTAGTGTTTTGTATAGAGTCAGTTTAATTTTTCTAGGCATTTTTGAGGCCATCTGTCTTCTTAAGCCATAGTAACACTTATTGGAGAGCACTATTCTCCTTTTGATTTCTTCACTGACGTTGTTATCTTTGGTTAGCAGCGACCCTAAGTATATGAAGGTGTCAACACGTTCCAGTTCTAGGTCATCAATTATTATTTGTGTAGGTGTCGGGTTGCTTGACCTAGTGCAACACATATATTTGGTCTTTTGAACATTTATACTTAGTCCCATTCTGTGTGCAGATGCTCTTAACGACCGAAATGCTTCAGTCAGAGATTCTGTGGACCTACCTATGATGTCTATGTCATTTGCGTATCCGACAATTTGTGCTGATTTGTTAAAGATAGTACCGTTCGTAGTAATCTGCGACTCTCGAATTATTTTTTCTAATGTCAGGTTAAATAAGAGACACAATAGTCCATTACCCTGCCTTAGTCCATTTTTGCAATGGAAGGGTCTTGAGAGATCGTTTTGGATTTTTACCATGCTGTCTGCACCTGTGAGTGTAAGTTCAGTTAACCGGACAAGTTCAAACGGAATGCGAAATTCTACCATAGAAAGTAGAAGTTTATTTCTATTAACGGAGTCGTATGCGGTTTTGTCCGCTGTCAACAAATATGTGGTGGGTGTCGACGCCGAACTATAGGGTTTTTTTAAGGATCTGCCTCACTGTAAATATCTGGTCCGTTGTTGATTTATTAGGACGGAAACCCCAATAATATCCTCCTACTATTTGTTCGGCGTAGGGGAGAAATCTTTTGTATAATACGTTGGACAACACTTTATATACCATATTAATTAAAGTGATGCCTCTATAATTATCATACACCATCATGTCTCCCTTTTTGTGTATAGGACACAGTACACCTAACTTCCAGTCTGTGGGTGTTTCTTTCTGTTGCCAAATTGCAGTTATCAGTTTATGCATGTGTTTCTACTAATTATGAAACCGTCTCTATCTTTACAGGCTATTATTCTGGGTTTGAATTCTTTTCTGCAGCTGTTTATCTGTTGGTAGAATTTTCGTGAGTCTTTTCCATTGTGGTGGTTAACAATTTCGTTTAGAGCGTGTTCGTATTGTTCTTTCTTTTTTCTTCTAAACATTCTCTTTTCTTCTCTTCCAAGATTTTCATAATCTTGGAATTCATCGAACCAAAGTTGGATTCAATTGATTTATTTTTGTCCCTGAAATGCCTGATTTAATTTATGACATACATTTTTTGAAACACCTTGTATAATATTCATATATTTAACTTATCAGTTATTCATTTATTATGAAGAATTATAAAAACCTAATTAAACCATACGATATTTACCCAAAGTAAAATCACTTACCCAATACAATATGGCAGTCCAACCTTCCATAGTAATACACTGAAACACAGTCAACATTGCAAACCCAATGTTATCAAACGACGTTATTCCATTATTGGGCCCCTGCCACCTTTCCAGACATACCGAGTTTCCATCTCTACACCAGTTACTACCTTGATTTTTTGCTTGTGTTTCATTATCTGTATTACACGGAACTTCTTCCTCACCTTCTTTAACAATTTCATCTGTAAAGGAACGCAAACATAAATTGCAATAATAAAATGAGAAACTTTCATTAGATTTTAATACCGCTTATGTCTAGTTATTAAGAAACAAGTGTATCAAGTATATTATACCACAGAATAATAAACAATCAGAAGGCCCACTCTGCTTGGACGGAATCAGCCATGTTTTAAACGGAACCAGAGCTGTTCAGTGGCATTTTTTCTGGTGTGCATAGAAAAATTAACCCGGTTTAATTTATTTACGGCAACTATAAACATAATGTGCACTATTTTATTCGCACTTTTAGTTGAACAGTAGATTAAATTATTTCAAATGTACTAAACTATTAATCTCTAAAAATTTAAATTTTCTCTCATAGCTTGTCACAAATTTCTAAATTTTAGTCTGTTTTCGTTTAAAATTTGGCGATCGCGTGCTGACAAACTTCAAATTTTCTCTCTTATGATATTATATACGAAAAGAAGATTATATTTGTTATATGTTTATTTACAAGGGCCTTCCTTACACCTACAATAATATCACAATTTTTTTGATGAAAGGTCTACAAAGCTCTACAAAAATGTGACGGCAAACATTAAAACTGGAAATAGATTAACTAGAGAAACTCAGTAAGGGCCTAAAGCAAGGCTGCTGCATAGCACCTACACCCTTTAAAATATATCTAAATGAGGCATTCTCACTGTGGAGAAGAAAGTGCTGCAATATGGGCATCCCAATCGGAGATGATAGATTGTACACGATACACTTCGCTGACGACCAAGCCATTCTAGCTGAAGACGAGAGTGATGTAGGCTACATGCTTAGAAAACTGGAAGATGAGTTAACCAAATGGGGCCAAACTCTGGGAAATAAAAAAAGGATACCAATCAAAAATTAAGGCCATGGAAATGAACTACTGGAGACGATGTTGCTAGCTCACTAGACTTGATAGGGTGAGAAACGAAGATATTCGGAGAGAAATGGAAATTGATCTTGACATAATAGACATAATCGAAACCAAGAGACTTAACTGGTATGGACACCTTCAGAGAATAACTAATAAGATTACCAAAAATAGAGAATACCAAAAAAAAGTAGAAGAATGGACTCCGCCAACTAGAAGAAAACGAGGTAGACCAAAACGATCCTGGAGAGACGATATCGACGATTCAATGACCACCAGAGATCTAACAACTGAAGATTGCTTCGACAGAAAACGCTGGAAATTAGAAGAATGCGAAAAGCGACGCCAGCTGTAGAATACACTCTTGTTATATATATATATATATATATATATATATATATATATATATAATATATATATATATATAATATATATATATATATATATATATATAAAGTTGTGATTTTTGAGGATGCAGTCAGTTCATTTGGCCCACAAATTTAAAGTTTATTTTATTTTATGTTTAAATCAACAGTCAAGAATACCACCATCTTATATATATATATATATATATATATATATATATATATATATATATATATATATATATATATATATATATATATATATATAGATCAAAGAGCTTTCTCTTTAAAGTGGCACCCATACGAAAACAATTGGTCTTTTTAATAACCTATTATTAAATGTTTACGTATTACTTGTATAGTATGTGATGTTTTTTATGACGTTGGCAACCCAGCTGTTTTTCCAGGACTGTTTTTTTAATAAATATTCTTTAAATTAGACTCCATTTGGTTTCCCTTGTTATAAATCGAATGATCACAATGATGTCGAAACGCATCCTTAATTGTAAAAATATTTTTTTTTACAATTTAGTGGTTGCATTTGAAGATTATTAATCATTATTGGATAACAAAATCCTGGACAGATTGAATGGATAGCTTACATATCTGGACAGCTGGATTGACTGTAGGATTAAGAGCGACAAGGAAATTTCGACCAGAACAGAACTGCAAGCAAAATCTTCATTAACTTGCGTTCTGTATTTCGCATTAAAAGTCTCTTGTTGAACAAGAGTCTAAGAGTGCTAAAATATAATTTTGCCCGCTTTGTTTTCTGGATGTAAAACCTAGACAATTAAAGTCAAAAATCTACATAGATAAGAAGTGTTTGAGTTGTGATGTTACCGACACATGCTCAAAATTCCGTGGACCGCACATATCTTCAACGAATGTGTGCTAGAAACTATACATAAAGAGCAAAAATTAATCAACACTATCAGAATGAGCTCTTTGGTTGTACAATGACTTAATAAACGACAAAATAAAAAGGAAACTCTGGGTCGGAAGAAAACAGCTGTCCTGGCTGCGTAGCATTAGACAGTGGACAGATCGAAAGTTTGAGGAATTGTTTCACGTAGCTACCTACTGAGAAGCATTCCAGCAACAGACTAGAAGAATTCGCACAAGACTTTTAAATAAATGTGAAGAAGGCAGTGACTGGAATCAATTTAGACTTAAAAATGAACTTGACACGAGAGTGTTTATCATATATTTCATCGATTATAAGAAAGCATTCTATTAGATATAGATATAGATAATAGAATGCTTCTCAATACTGCTAAATAGATAATGCTAATATTTTTTCTGATAAGGCATTTATGAGTAAGAGAGTCAATATAGTTAACTTTTTTTTTTGTTATGGCGCCGTATCATTTTGAAGATTGGCAATTCTAATGGCATTTGTAGCTTTGGAAACTGCTGCATAAAACATATCTGTGGATGAGCAGTCAAATCATGTCCTCAGGTCTTTCAGCCACGAGTTCTGGCGTCTTTCAACTGATCTTTTGCTCTACACTTTATTTTCCAATATAATTTGTAGTAATCCATATCTTTTACCTCTCAACACATCATCCAAGTATTGTATTTTCCTGTCTTTAATTATGCTTAGTAATTCTTTTTCTTTCCTCATGCGCCGAAGTACCTCATCGTTGGTAACTTTTTGTAGCCATGGAATTCTCAGCAACCAACCATCTATATATGTACATTTTAAAGGCAGCTATTCTTTTTTTTTGTTTCAGAGTCCATTGTCCAACTTTAGCAGCCATACAGCAAAACAGAAAAAAACGTAGCATCTGATAAAGTTACCTGTTCTAATATTTTTGTCTCTTGGCATGTAAATGTACGTTTGTTTAAGACTGCCGCTATCATCAGCGTACCTGATGTAGTCTATGTTGGTTCCATTATTCTTGATTCTACCTTAAACCTCATCTAATGCTTTTCTGAATATAGATTCAGAATACAGAATAAATAATATCGGTCATAAGACGCAACCTTGTCGCACTCCATTTTAATTGTTGCCATTTAGTGCCAATATATTTTTAAAATAATTCTCAAATCTTCTTAAACTCCATTGTTTTCAGAATTTCGATTATCTTTTGATGGTTAACCCAGTCAAATGTTTTTCAATAATCAATAAAACATGCATATACATCTACATTCATGTCTCTGCATTGTTATGTTAACACATTTAAGGCAAAAATGGTTTCTCGTTTTCATAATCCGTTTCGAAACCCGAATTGATTGTTTGAATATGAGACATCATTTTTATTTATTTAAATTTTGCAATGGATTATTTCTTTTATTATCTTTTATTTTGTATTGACGATTTATGTAATTTCATTAAATTTTAAATTGTTATTGATATTTTTCTGACTGTTTGTAAGCTTTGTCCATAAAATTGAACAAATTTTTAATGGCAATGAAGCAAATTTTCTATCTATCATGCATAATATTCGATAGCCATCGCAGTGTAAGGTATTGGATTTTTTGGTAATGTTACGAATGATGATTTTAACCAGTCTGATGGTAAGTTACTTGTCTCATAAATCTTATTAAATAGCGCTGTTATCAAGTCGGTGACTTTTACTTACGTTATCTGCAATTAATTTAAGTATTAAAACAAAACACCTTAATAAATCATATCTAATTTGGAGCAAACATCGAAATTGTTTGTGTAGTAAATCACCTCAGGCGTCGCAAATAGAAAATCTTAGGGACTACCTTCGTCCTTCTGATGGCAATTTTCTACCCCTCCTGTGGTACATATATGCAAATTGACCGTGTTGAGTTCTTATGCATTTAAGTATACACCAATCTTACATTGTAGGTCAAATCTAGAACGTCTCTCACGATGCAAGGTATAATTATATTTGGTTGAGCTTCGGACCACTTATGAGTCTATCTAGTGTATCATGTTGAATTCATTGTTCCTATAGTTTCTATGGGAGATTTTTAAGAGTGCAGTTGACGTTTGGTGGCCGTGTTATTAAGGATATTTTTATATTTTTTGGTCAGAAGGTTGGGTCGACGAAGGTATGATGGTAAAATGTCACTCAGCATTAGTAGCCAATGGGTTGGTCTGGATTTAATTACTACACCTTTGAAACTTAAGTAGTGTTGTTCCATATTAATGCGCAATATTCAACTTAGGAATACAATAAAAAGAACTAAGCCCAAAGACCTGAATACCAATTCGAATACCTCCTAGGTTGTGCCGCAAAGCTTCTGAATTATGTTATTTCTGTTTCGCTTCTCGAGAACTGAACTTAAATGATCTCTAATGCTTAACGTTCTGTCCAAAGTCACGCCTAGGTAATTTGTAGCATTTCGTTTTACCCCGTATATATTAAAACACCGAAAAATATTCTTTTTTTTTGTGTCTCCGAGATTGGCAATATAAACATTTTTAGTCTGTTCTTAATAACACTAATTGCTATTTCGTTTGATCGTGATTCCACGATATTTGCACATTAAATAAACAGGAATCTTTTCGTTTATGTTTATACCGTTTTGGGACAATATCACTAGTACGATGCACCCGCCAAAGCAGTCGGTTTCATTATTTAGTTCGGATTTTCTTATAATTCGTTATTCATTTTTCGTTTTTTTTTGTTGAAAAATAGTAAAAATTGAAAAAATAGTAAAAATAAAGGGTAGTAGCAGTAAAAAAGATGTAGATTGGGTTCGGAACAGCAAAGATCTTAGCGTATAGTTTTCAAAATAAACCAGCAATTTTTTTGTTTAATTTCATGAG